GGAGGCGGCGGGTACAGCTGGCTCTGCCTCTAGATAGGCAGAGCCAGCTGTCAGTCACGCAGCTGGGTGGATACCGGCACAATTGTCGGGATCCGCTTCAGCTGCGGCGTCTCAGTATACCGCGAGCAGCAGCTCTCTATATACTGAGCCTAGGGTGATGGGAGGACGCTAGTTTGTGTCCTCCCGTTACCCTAAGGAGAACTATGGGGAAGAACACTGACCCCATAGTTCTCATTTAATTCTGGACTTTAGTTCATCTTTACCGGCAGAAGAAATCACAGCAGGTTTTCAATGTTGAAGGGATAATCTTCTGTAAGAAGACGCCTGGTACTATGAAAACATGCTGCACTCTCCACTGCTGGGTGTGAATGGTATTAATCTTATCTGCTGTTGTCAGTTAGGGATGTATTTTGGATGTGTCACATTTAAAGAACTATAGGGTCAGTGTTTTTCCCCATAGTTCTCCTTAGGGTCACGGGAGGACATAAACTAGCGTCCTCCCGTCACCCTAAGCTCAGTATATAGAGAGCTACAGCTACAGACGCCGCAGCCGGGACGGATCCCGGCATTACTGTCGAGAACCACCCAGCTGCGTGAGTGACAGCTGACGCTGCCTATAGAGGCAGAGCCAGCTGTACCCGCCCCCTCCCCCGTCTGTTCCGCCAGTCAGCACTAGAGGATCGGAGCGGGGAGGGGGGGAATCCCTGTGGGGAGCCGTGAGTGACAGTCACCTCTCTCTGCAGGGAGATGATCGAGAAGTGAGCGAGCGACGGTATGTATTCGCTCACTTCCCGATCTATTGAGCCGACGTGTGACAGTTTCATTGTCACATGTCGGCTCGAAGTATGTGGTATGAGGTGAAAATCACTCACCTCATAGTTCTCCTTTAAGGCGTACCGCTGGCCCTGTGTGACTTCATGAGACCCACCAGATACATCTGCAATCTGACCTTCTCGTAGCTACCATCCACGTGGAGTCAAAGTCTAAGGTCTCGTTCACACCTAGGCGTATTGCATATGCACATCTGTCGCGCGTTTTTTTACCGCGATTCGCAGTAAAAAAAGTCGCGCAACCGTCGCGCGTTTCCGAAGGCTACTTGGCTGTATCCCAATGGAAACGCGCAACAAAACGGCCCAAAGTAGTACCTGTACCTTTTCAGGCGTGGGTCGTTTTGTAGGGCGTTAGGGATGGGGGGAAATACGTCAAGGTGGGAACCAGACCATTGAATACAATGGGATTTATATTTTTGAGCGTTTTGTAGAGCGTTCGTCGAGCGTAGAACGCGCTACAAAACGTTCAGGTGTGAACGAGGGCTTAAAGGTGTTGTATTGATCAAGCAGAAGCTGGAAACTGTCAGTAATAGGTGATGCCGCCGAACTAGTTATAAAAACTGTAATGAGCATTAACATCGCATCTAGTCCGGTGTTTTGTGTTCATCCTCCACCTTGCATTCTAAGATGAGGCAGGAATATGTCTGTCATGGAGCCCTGTCTCTATAGAGGATCCCCCCGAGGCTGTAATGACTGCAGGGCTTCTCTGGATGACAATTAGCTGGTCTGTGAGACTTGTGATGAATGTGGCGGGCAGTGACGATGAGTGCAGTGACAGCGATGCGCTTCGTTTGGTGCTCATAGACAGGATCCTAATAATCTATTAGAGCGTAATTATCACTGCGCACCTGCTAATCGCTCTTACTTCAGGGCCCGGTATAAATCTTATGTGTCAGGAAATAACTTTTTGCCCTTTTTTAAAAGTTTTGTCCACTGGCAACATATTTGTGAGATTTTGGTGTCGGGTTCTTACATGAGAGATATCGGTAGATGTCCATGCAAGGCCGGATAACCCCCAAAGGCCAACCAAGGCCGGGCCTTGGGGCAGCAGGGAGTAGAGGGGTAGCAGGGGTGTGGAATTCTATCGCCCAATGCCTGGGACATGCATTTCCGGGTGTCGGGCGGGTAGTTGTTTTCTACATTTAGCCCGGCTTTGGGCAAGCAGAGCTGAATGTACAGCGGGGAAGCCGCCGCTTGTTTTGTACAAGTGATCCCGGCGATGTCGCCAAGATCACTTGTCTACAGCCTGCAGGTCTGCCATTCTCCTTGGGGGGGTTTGGTAAGTAGGGGGGGCACATTGAGGAACCTGGCCTTGGGGCAGCAGAGAGAGTAAATCCGGCCCTGTGTCCATGTGGTCTTACACGATAATCCCGGCCATGCGCATGGCAAGTTCATAAAGGCTTCTGAGCTGCTGCAATAAGACAATTGTGTCTAGAAGATATCTGTGACCCTCAATGATTTTAGTTCCTTGTTTTCTAGCAATTTGATCTCTATTAATAGTAATCAATATGTTTGAGGGGAATATCGATCAAAACCATTGTAATAATAGCTGCAAATTGAGCAATTTCCACTCTAAACGTTGGTCAATTGGAGATGACGACAAACCCCAGGTAGTGGCACTATGTGGATGCAGAACTGTCTTGGGGAGGGGGATTGTAGCATTCCGGCCAATATTTTGCATTGCAAGGTAAGTGTTGGGCTGGTAGTTCTGGTGATGAAGTTAGGTTTTGGGTTCAGGGTTGGCTTAAGAGGAGCTATAAAGTTAAGTATTTGAAGTAGGTTTTTTTTTCCTGGGTTCAGGGTTATTCCCAAAATAACCCTGCGGCGGCCTCATTATACCGCGAGCTGTAGCTCCCTATATACTGAGCCTAGGGTGACCCTGAGGAGAACTATGGGGAAAAGCCCTGACCCCATAGTTTTCCTTTAAAGATAAATACATTCTCATACACTTCTTTTATGTGTGCTCGTGTGTCTTTCAGTCCATCTAAAATCTTGGTTCTCAACTGGTGGGTCGCGACCCCATGCTCAGTGGGTCATCACATGCCTTCCACTTTTCTAGGTGGGACACTCCTCAGCCTTCCCCTACTGTCAGTTCTCACGCTGTGCAGCCATTCAAAATATGCTGCCCGGCCCTGCGTGTTAGCTTGAGGTGGGGTGGGCTGGAAGTATTACCATAAGTGAGCTCCATCCATATACAAGTGAAACTCGAAAAATTAGAATATCGTGCAAAAGTTCATTTATTTCACTAATGCAACTTATGCGGTGAAACTAATATATGAGAGAGACTCATTACATGCAAAGCGAGATAGTTCAAGCCGTGATTTGTCGTAATTGTGATGATTATGGCTTACAGCTCATGAAAACCCAGATCCACAATTTCAGAAATTTTTTGGCAGTGTGGGCAGGTGCCACGTCCTGTTGGAAAATGAAGACAGCATCCCCATAGAGCTCGTCTGTGGAAGAAAGCATGAAGTGCTCCAAAATCTCCTGGTAGACGGCTAAGTTGCATTAGTGAAATAAATGAACTTTTGCACAATATTCTAATTTTCCGAGTTTCACCTGTATGCATTGCTTACAGCTCCCACATGTACCCTGTAGAGGTGCCTGGACTGGACATTGACTTCACATTCTGGCTCCCCGGCACCTCTACAGGGCGCACACGGGAGCTGTGCAAGCAATGCACATATGGATGAAGCTCCATCACAGCACAGAAGCCCACACTGGATCCCGGGCTCTTTTTGGAGTGTGTGCAGGTGAAACTGGAATAATTAGAATATGGTGCAAAGTTCATTTATTTCACTAATGCAACTTATGCGGTGAAACTAATATATGAGAGAGACTCATTACATGCAAAGCGAGATAGTTCAAGCCGTGATTTGTCATCATTGTGATGATTATGGCTTACAGCTCATGAAAACCCCAAGAACCCCAAATCCACAACCTCAGAAAAGTAGATTATTACATGCAATCAATAAAACGAGGATTGTACATAGAACAATATCGCACCTCTGAAAAGTACAAGCATGCATATGTACTCAGTACTTGGTTTGGGCCCCTTTTGCAGCACTTACTGCCATTACTTTTGCACGATATTCTAATTATTTGAGTTTCACCTGTATATGTGTGTCAGATTGTGTCTGTCAGTGCTTTTTGAGGGTCCAGCACCCGAACGGCTGGTACTGCAATGCTGTGCGTTCCATTGCAGTGCGACTTGGGTCGCGACAAATGCGGGTCCTGAGGCTACACAGGTTGAGAACCACTGCTCTAAAATGCATACAAGACCTGCAGCATTGCGAATGGGCCATCCACCTGTATCCCGTGCTTACCACCCGAATATACATCCACATTGTACAATCAATAACTGAAACGGGCAGATTTGTTTTTACATAAAATTTATTATTTGGTAAACTTTTATTTAGAATTTTCTTTAGCAGGTAAGCGCCACTGCCACCTGTCTGGAAATACCCCATTTTGAGTACACATACCCCGGTTGGGGGGAGAATCTGTAAGGAACATACACACTACTTTTTTTTTTTTTTTCCTTTTGCAGTCAGGGTCGGATTTACGTTTAGGCACAGTAGGCCCGTGCCTAAAGGCGTTGCAGGAAAAGAGGCAGCTTTTCCTGTAGTTTATCGTGCTTCGTCTTCTCTCTCTCCAGCCCTCGATAGAATTGTCTCTCAATAGTCCCAAGCCAGGATAGGACTGAACAAAAAACAAATAAGTAAAATGCTCTGTGTAAAAGGGGATGCTGATAGTAGTAGTGTGCCAACAGGACGCAGTGGTGGACAGCTCGTCTAGTGACCGCATCCTATTAGTTTTATTGAGGACTCTATGAACAGTACACCTTCGGAAATGTGTGAATGCGTCCGCTTTATACGGCCTACGTTAAAAAAAAATACCAGGACTCCGTTCACAGTCGCCGTCCGTCCATCTCTCTCTGCACGGAAAAAAATAAACTGTAATGTGTACGTCCCAATCATCCGGGACTAAAAAGAACGACAGATATTAATAAGGAGAGATTTTTTTTTTTTTAGTTTTTGTTTTTTAATTTATCAGCTCGAGGAAGCTAAAAACACAGACAAACCAACCGAGAACAAGACTGGAGCTAGTATAGAAAATAAAAAGTGAAGTGTAATGTGTGGAGTCCTTTTTTTTTTTTAATATTTAAAGGGGGGGAGTTAGGCAAGCATTCCGAATTTCACGTGAGTTCCAGGATCACTGTCATTAATAAGAGCACCAGTAAGGGTCTGGAGTAGCTGTACACCGGGATGGAACCTGGAACGAGACGAGAGAGAGAGAGAAGAGGTCAGAACGCAACACGGCAAGGGGGACAAGTCATAATAGTACAGGAAGTCCCCCACTTACATGCGACTCCTACTTACAAACGGAGGCTATTACTGTACAGCGGGGGTAGTTGTAATGCTACCGCGCTCGCGCAGACGAGGGGTGCCCGCCTTTTTGGGTCTGGTTCGTAGTACTGTATGGACATTACAGGAAGTTGGCTCTTGTTAGACATGTAGACGAGGGGTGCCCGCCTTTTTGGGTCTGGTTCATAGTACTTGTATGTACATTACAGGAAGTTGGCTCTTGCTAGCGGTGCTGACGAGGAGTGCCCGCCTTTTTGGGTCTGGTTCGTAGTACTTGTACGGACATTACAGGAAGTTGGCTCTTGTTAGGGGTGCTGACGAGGAGTGCCCGCCTTTTTGGGTCTGGTTCGTAGTACTTGTACGTACATTACAGGAAGTTGGCTCTTGTTAGCGGTGCTGACGAGGAGCGCCCGCCTTTTTGAGTCTGGTTCGTAGTACTGTACAGGGCTGTAGCTACCAAGGGGCGAGTGAGGCACTTGCCTCAGGCGCAGTTGAGAGGAGTGCAGCCAGGGCCGGCCTGGCTGCGCCAACTCGCCCCTGTTGCCATGGCAAGCACAGGGCACCATGGCAACAGGGGCACCAGGTGGCCAACGCAGCCGCAGCTCGGCAGGGAGAAGAGGGCAGACACAGGCTTCAGATTCTCCTCGTATCCCCGATGCTCACCCCCGCCCAGAGGCAGGCTGCAGGACATCACATGATGCTGCGCGTGTGTGTGTCATTGGGTGACATCACACGTCTGTTAGGGGGGCACAATTTTCTGTTCTTGCCTCGGGCGCAAAAGGAGCAAGCTACGGCTCTGGTACTGTATGTACATTACAGGAAGTTGGCTCATGTTAGCGGTGCCCGCCTCTTCCGGGTCACTGTGACGTTTTTACTGCTGTCTGTAGCCTCATTAGAAAGATTTAATCTCACTTCCTGTCCTTGAGACAACAGGAAGTGACAGGAAATCTACCCCTAGGAAGGAGAATTCCCTCCTGTAATATCCCTCCATGTGATAGCAGATTGGTGGTGACAGGTCCTCTTTAAGGTGATACTTGGGGCCCAAAAGACCCCCAGCGTCTCCTTTTACACTTGAAACAAGCTTTTGGAACGCAGATCGCACTTCAGGAGCCCAGCACTGACAGCTATGGGACCAGAAGAGATCGGTGAACGGACGTTCTCCGATCTCCTCCCCAGCTTCCTACCGACGCCAAGAAGCCAGTGCCAGGCCTGTAGGAGGGGGAGCGGAGCCCGGGAAACATCTCATTATTGTGTTTTGGGGGCACTGAATTTAACTTAAGTGCAGTTTTCACTACATTTTTGGGTTTGATAATAAGTCGCGCTGATATCGTGCCGCATAAAAATTTGCAACTGCCAACCTTTTTTTTCTACAGGGTCTCGGCTTTCAGAAAATATATACAGGGTTATTCACAGAAGGGTGAAGAGTTTGGAGAAGTGAACAATCTAGACCAAAGTAGCCAATTTTGAAACAAATTCTCCCAATTTCAGCTCATTTTACAGTTCGGCGATGTTGTCCTAGATTGTTCACTTCCCCAAACCCTTCACCCTTTTGTGAATAACCCTGATAATGATTGGGTGGGAGGGGGTGTTGAAGTAATGTTCAGGCCTACAATGTGGATTATAACATGGGTGCAATAAACGGGGAGGGGGGGGGCGGTCATGAAGGGGTTGAAAAACTGACAGTTGGCACCCAACTTTTGAGGATTTCTCTTGTTTTAGTCAATGGAGCTCCTAGAAAAAGTCCTGCTGGCTCCTGAATTGGACAGACTGGATCCTGAATTCCATATTCATTGGTCCACCCCCCCTGGAATAACATCATCATTATGATATGGAATGAAATGGTCTCTCCTCCTAGACTCGCACGTCACAGTCTCTCCCCTCTGCTCCCAGCAGGTGTGCATGCCGCATCCGCACTGAGACTCCTTTACATAACCATTCTGTGCGCTGAAAACTCCTTTTATCCTTCATGTGACCAATTCCAGCAGATAATTGATGCAGCAGAATCCGCACAAATTATGTTACTGCCGTGAATATTTTAATTGGTGTAATTTTCAGAAACTTTCTCCCAAGTGCAATTACAGGGAAAGGAGGAAAAAAATATTACCAAAGTTATAGGAAAAAGTGTCTTATATAAAGTGTCTGTCTTACTGTAGACGGGAAATGTCTATTTCTAGCTCACGTCTGACACTTTGATTAAAGTGGAACTCCAGGAAGACGCAGCTGAACTTCACATAATGTAGAAAAGGTCTTTGTGTGCAATCTGGCCTCTTCGGGATGTTGTGGTAGTAGGTGAAGGGGGCTCCTGACATGGGGCACACAGCACCACCCGCACATTGGGGCACACAGCACCACCCGCGCATTGGGGCACACAGCACCACCCGCGCATGGGGCACACAGCACCACCCGCGCATGGGGCACACAGCACCACCCGCGCATGGGGCACACAGCACCACCCGCGCATGGGGCACACAGCACCACCCGCGCATGGGGCACACAGCACCACCCGCGCATGGGGCACACAGCACCACCCGCGCATGGGGCACACAGCACCACCCGCGCATGGGGCACACAGCACCACCCGCGCATGGGGCACACAGCACCACCCGCGCATGGGGCACACAGCACCACCCGCGCATGGGGCACACAGCACCACCCGCGCATGGGGCACACAGCACCACCCGCGCATGGGGCACACAGCACCACCCGCGCATGGGGCACACAGCACCACCCGCGCATGGGGCACACAGCACCACCCGCGCATGGGGCACACAGCACCACCCGCGCATGGGGCACACAGCACCACCCGCGCATGGGGCACACAGCACCACCCGCGCATGGGGCACACAGCACCACCCGCGCATGGGGCACACAGCACCACCCGCGCATGGGGCACACAGCACCACCCGCGCATGGGGCACACAGCACCACCCGCGCATGGGGCACACAGCACCACCCGCGCATGGGGCACACAGCACCACCCGCGCATGGGGCACACAGCACCACCCGCGCATGGGGCACACAGCACCACCCGCGCATGGGGCACACAGCACCACCCGCGCATGGGGCACACAGCACCACCCGCGCATGGGGCACACAGCACCACCCGCGCATGGGGCACACAGCACCACCCGCGCATGGGGCACACAGCACCACCCGCGCATGGGGCACACAGCACCACCCGCGCATGGGGCACACAGCACCACCCGCGCATGGGGCACACAGCACCACCCGCACATCATGGAGCACACATCACCACCCGCGCATGGGGCACACGGCACCACCCGCACATGGGGCACACAGCACCACCCGCACATGGGGCACACAGCACCACCCGCACATCATGGAGCACACATCACCACCCGCACATGGGGCACACAGCACCACCCGCACATGGGGCACATGGCACCACCCGCACATTGGGCACACGGCACCATCCGCACATGGGGCACACGGCACCACCCGCACATGGGGCACACGGCACCACCCGCACATGGGGCACACAGCACCACCCGCTCATTGGGGCTCACAGCACCACCCGCTCATTGGGGCACACAGCACCATCCGCACAGAAAAATTGATGAATGGTAAAGGAGTCAACTATGGACACATTTTTTTTGCCGTCTTTAGGGGCACACACAGTGTTGACGGTTGACATATTTTATATCAGTTTAACCAACACAACCTCCTCGTCTGCTATATTTTACCAAAAAATTGGGGAATATACAGTAATACCTCGGTCAACACGAACAATTCGGTTCGCGAATAGGAAGTTTGGCAAAATTTTGCTTTCGTTTGCGAACTCCGCATCGGGTGACGAACACAACCACAGCCATCTTCCCCGGTCTGACACGTGGTCGTGGCTTCCTCTAGTCGAGATCGCGGTCTGTTCCCAGTTTGATTCGGTTTGTGAACCGAGGTACCACTGTTTTTGTATTTGTGTGCACTGAAAAGAACCTGATTGTATTCTCTAGTAAAATATAGTGCAACTATTCTGTGACTTAAATAATTGTGACTGCCGCCATTTCATTCTACGGGTTAAGATTCCTAAATTGCGTCTTGTAATGTGTGCAGAAGGTTCTCTAAACGAGAGGAACAATTGCATTGTGTGAACCCGGACAGATTTATTTCGCTCCTCGGCAGCCAGAATAGTTATATAAGAAATAAGCCGGTTGTGAAATGCGGACATGGGGGGGGGCGGGGTTTGTTTCCACATTGGTGGAGTATCACACTGTTTTCCTATGGATTCGCCTTCATTTACATGGCCTCCCGTCTACACAGCAATTTGTCTCTGGCGGCTCTCTGATCTATATTCTGTTGCTAATAGAAACAGTCATTAATTTATTTCTGGCCTCTAAAGCAGCAGATAAAATGGACCCGGCTGTGATCTATTTCTGTCTCCTCCGGAGCATCATTTGCCCGATCCTCCCGTCTGCTTTACATGTTAAACAACTCACCGTTTGAGTCTTCTGTTCCCCTCGGAATATTGGGATTTTCTACGAGGAAACAGACAGAATGTTAGACTGAAGAAGTAAAATGTTCACCCGCTGTCAGTCATTTGGCAGTGGCATCCATTGCCTTCCGTTCCTTGTTAACAGGTAGGTGCTGATGATAACATCGGACTTTTGCTGCTTCCATTGAAGCAGAACTCCAGGATTCAATGACCAATCCTGGTATTTAAATATTAGGGATGCACCGATAAGTAGTATCAATATTGCTGCTGCATTGGGGCGAGTATTTGGACAAATACTCGCCCCAATGCTCCCGATGCCTGTCCCAATACTAAAACTTCCGGTATCAGGAAGCTGGGCGGCGAGTCATTACATAGTGCCCGGCTTCCTGATTGTATGGGAAGATGGCTCAATGTTCCCTCGTCACCAGGGAGCATGGAGCTGGCTTCCCGGACTATCAGGAAGCCGGTGGGGGGGCGGTAATGACTCGCCCGCCGGCTTCCTGTTTGGCTAAGAAGCTAGCTCCATGCTCCCTCGTCCATTGAATGTATAATGGCTCACCGCCCAGCTTCCTGCTGGGGTAAGCTGGTCAATCAGGAAGCCAGGCGGTGAGTCATCTCCCCCCCCGGCTTCCTCATTGGCCATAAAGCTGGTTCCATGCTTCCTCGTCATCTGGTGATGGAGCAAGCAGGCGGCTTCCTGGCTAATGGGGAAACGGGGCGGCAGGTCATTACACGCCGCACAGCTGCCTTAATGGGACTTCCGGTATCGGTATTCGGTATTGACTAGTACAGAAAAAAAATATTGGTACTCATACTCTACCAACATTTTTTATCGGTGCATCCCTATTAAAAACCTTTATGTGCAGTTCTTTAGCGGGTCCTGTGATGTCACAGAAAGTTCTTCCATTTCTTTCAGGTGGTGGCAGTGGGTAGAGTCCAGTCTGTGTGATGATGCGCCCCCTAGTGGGGGGAGCGTAAATGGCCGGCTGGGCTCACAGGAAATGACCTGAATGACATGATTTTTTTTTATACGAGGGAAGGAATCCATAGAGAAACATATTTTCCTTTTACTCTGAGTTCTCGGTGCAACATTGGTAAGGATTGCAACGCTATGCCATTATATTTTATCATTCAACTCCCAGAGCAGCCTTGGGCCAGCAGCTTACCTTGGCTGATTATTTATTAGTTTGATGTTTGACTTGCAAGTTATCCTTCTCTCACTTATGGAATGACCTGTCCGCAGTGATAGACGGGAAGACTGACATGATACTTGTGAGTGATTTATCCAGTACACAGTGCAGCACAGAGCGTCCTGGCACACGGGCTGTCATTGTCACTCATAATTATAAAGCCAGTGACCCTCCAGTAAACTAGAGGAAGGTGTATTTGGTCCATGGGCGTCTCCTGAGCGGACGTTCCTCTGTCACAGATTTAGTGGGGAAGCAGGGGTAGATGGGTCAGAGATACCGTACAAGTCAGAGTGGCACATCATTCCGCTAGAATTCCCTGTGGCATCGGGAGATTTGCTATTCGAGCGGAAAGCTTCACATATTGCTTTTATCTGTTTTTTTTTGTCAGATTTCCATTGCAGCCCAACAACAGGGGACCCTTAAGGTGCCCACACACCTTGCGATAATCGCGGGAAATCCCGCGATCGTACGATTATCGTAAGGTGTGTGGAAGCCGTGCGACCTCTACTACTGTAAGGTCGCACGACTTTTATCTTAGGAACATGTTCGAAAACCCGCCGAGCATCCTACGATGTTCGGCGGGTGTGTAGCATGTTCGTGAGATAAAAGCCGGACAGGCCGGTGTGCGCAAGCGCACACTGCCCGTTCGGCATTGCGGTCACCGGAAGCCCGCCCCTCAGGGGGCGTGGCTTGCGATCATCGCAAGTACGATCTGCCTGTCCAAGATGGGCAGATCGTACGTTTTTTAAGTACCTTACAACCATCGCAAGACAAAAGTCTTGCGAGGGTTGGAAGGTGTGTGCCCAGCCTTAAGGTGCCCATACACTGCTCGATTCTCGTACCAGAATCGCGGGAAAAACCCGCGATCGTACGAGAATCGAGCAGTGTGAACGAAGACGTGCGACCGTTTCTACTGTACGGTCGCACGTCTTTTGTCTAAGGAGCACGCTAGAAAACCAGCCGAAAATAGTACGATTATCGGCTGGTTTGAACGGTGCTCGGGAGACAAATGCCGAACGGGCCGGTGTGCGCACGCGCACACTGCCCGTTCAGCATTGCGGCCATCGGCCATTGCGATGATCGAGAGTACGATCTGCCTGTCCAAGATGGGCAGATCGTACGTTTTTTTAAGTACTTTACAACCATCGCAAGGTGGTTGCGATGGTTGTAAAGTGTATGGCCACCTTTACACTGCATAGAAATTGTATTGTTCTCCAGCACTGGGCTGCTCACACCGGTGCAGGAAATGTACGTTATGGCTTCTCTGGTGTTGTGAACAAGCAAACAGCATAACCTGTAAGGCCCGAATAATAGTTTTAATTCCTTATCGTCGGCTGTACTCAAACCCTGTTTCCACGAAAATAAGACCTAGTACTATTTTTGGGAATTGCTAAAAAGACCTACCCCGAAAATAAGACCTAGTTGTGACCATTCCCAGGGCCGGTGGCGGCATAAGGGGGAGAGGCAGAAGAGAACCAGCGGTGCCAGTGAAGCCGGCGCTAGAGGAAGCGAGGCAGCAGCACAGGAAGCAGAGCCGCATAAGCCGACGCCTCCTCTATAGCGCCGGCTCCTGTCACAGGCGGAGTGATACCAAATGCACTCCGCCTGTGAGGAATCCATAGTGAAAGCGCGCTTCACTCATTCTGGCCAGTGATTGGTTACCAAATTGCTCTTGGAAAGGTACGGCACCCCTGATTACCATATTTTTGTACATGAATAAGTGTGAATTGTTATACATTAAAAAAAAAAAAATAAGACCTACCCCGAAAGACCTAGTGTGTTTTTTTGAGCCCAAAAAAATATAAGACATTTCTTATTTTCGGGGAAACGTGATATATGTGGAAGCATGGAGGTGGGATTTAATGCCATGCTTCAACATACATGCATACAGCCGGCACTGATGTTTGGTACTGGGAGTGCGCTCACATGCACCGGCACCGTGACCATGTCGTTACTGACAGGAGCAGGGCATGGGCTCCTGATCACATGATCACTATGACAGTCAATCACATGATTGGGAAGCTCATCATCTCTACCTTGGGACTTTAAAAACCCCTTAAAGGGCCAGCTCACGCAGGCTGGAGGATGTTGCTCTTATACTGGTTGTAGTTATTGGTGATATGTATAGATATGCACGGCATCTATCACCAAGCAGTTTTGGATGCGCAGTCGACCATCAGGACATAAATAAATGATTGCATGGCTTCACCCACTGTCCAGATATGAGCGAGGAACCTCATTTGTGATGAGACTGAAGACAAAAATAAATAAATGTGTTCATCCTTTTCACCATTCTAGTTTTAGGCTCCGTTTGGCCCTGGCCATATCCTGACTGGCTATACCAGTGGTTCTCAACCTTTCTAGGGCTGGGGCCCCTTGGTTACATTTGCCAGGTTGTGGTGACCCCCAATGGCAAAATTTAGGAATGCACCAATACTAGTTTCTGTGTGGGCCCTCAGGTGGCCAATGTGGGCTCATGTGAGCTCAAAGGGGCTCTCTCGCGGTCAATGTGGCTCTCTGGGGGCCAGTGGGGCTCTTGGGTGGTCAAGCCAGCATTCAACTCCCCTCACTCCCGGCCGCTCCCCTCTCTTTGATCCTCCTCGGCTGCCGGCGCTGCAGCGCCATCTAGCGGCGTGGCCTGAGAACTGACACTGCTGCTCTAGGAGGTGGCTGAGGAGCCTCTCACCTGGCGCAGCACAAAGCATGTGGTGACCCCCTCAACAGTGGGTTGTGACCCACTTTTGGCTCGCGGCCCACAGGTTGAGAACCAATGGGCTATACTGTAGTTCTATACAGAGTTATAGATGATCTGAAGTTACATTCTTCAAACTGATACAATTTTAAAGACATTTACACCCATCTATGAGGATTGTTAGATCCCATTCCACTTACCAAATACTATTAATCTGGTATGCGTGTCTGTAGAACCCAGCGGATTCTGAGCTGTGCATCGGTACATAGAGCCGTTTAGTTCAGCTGGGACCCGTTCCAGGACCAGCTCCTTCCCGTCATGCTCTGAGCTGCCATCCAGCAGCCTCCCGCCAACCCGGGTCCATGTAAGGAGAGACTCAGGAAAGACTTCATTCTGTAAACAACGATAGGGAGACCCGGCTCATCGATTGCAGGAGCAATAAAGACATTGTATTGCTTGGAGACTTTGCAGGCTATTAAGTTTGAGCGCAGACCTTAGCAATGCTAGCTAAACTTCGGAAGCCCTGTCCTCCTACTAAAAAAGTGTGCTGATCCTGTAAGAGAAGGTATTGATCACTTAAAGATGGAGGGAATGACTCCTTATGGTGTAAGCTACACGTACACTTAGCAAAGTAAGTGGTACATCATCCCACACGGCACCCAGTGCTGCATTTATTTCACTGGCTGCCGCATGTTACCGTGTAGCTTACGCCACAGGGAGTCATTTCTTCCATCTGTTAGAGACTGATTGCTCCTCTCGGTGAATAATCCAAGCCAATTTTAATACCATGATTGACTAAAAGTAAGCCGTGGTGCCTAGGTCTCGGTGTGTGGAATAAAATTAACCACCGCTGCTCCGTAGCAACCAATTACTTTTTTTTTTTTTAATGCAGAAAAATAAAGCAAATAAAATGGCTGCTGAGGGGAAGACGAACTTCACTTTTCATGTTCTATACTTTATTATAGATGCAGTTATACTGTACGTACAATGTCATTGTAAAGAAACACATTTCCAAAGCACGTGTACAAGAAAAGGATCACTGGTAGAAACAAGGAATTGTCACATCTCATACAATAAAATACAAGGCAATATATGTTCAAGAAGCCCTGACCCCGTAGTTCTCCTTTAAGATTTGAAAATGAAAGAGAGAAGCTGATTGGTTGCACATCTACTCCAGATTTTTATAAATTCCCTTCTTAATGTTCCTTTATCCTATACCAAATAAAGGTGGGGGGACGGCATGGGGCATAGGAAAGGGATGGTAGGGAGACCATAGGTAACCATGAGTTCATAAAGGGAGATGGGTTGTGTCAAAATCTGGAAGAAGGAAACTTGTAATTCAGAGTTGTTGGGTCACTAGGTATACTCACCTGAACCACAATGGCAGATGGCTATTAGAGCGTTCCCTGGAGCCTCTCTCCCCCCTCCGCTCCTGTGGTCTAAGGTGCAGCGAGTCACCACGTTATTTACAGTGTATAGGACTTGAGGATGCCAAAGGACATGCCATCGCTGAAGTAGGGGAGAAGCCAGACTGAAGGGACAGGTCTAGGAGCCAGCTGGCATCGCAGTTCGGGTGAGGTGTCTCTCTATTGTTTTTTTTTAGCTCCCTCGGAAAAAAGAGCACCTAACCCTTGCACTGTGGGGGTAATGTTAAGAGTTTTTCTGTGAACTTGCTTATAAGGAGGGGGTCACACTCCATTGACTGAAGGGCTATCCACATGGGCATCATGATATTTAGGAATCTGAGTTAGTTGGATATTTTTGGAAGCCCCAAAACTCCTTGAAACAGTTCACTTTTAGGCAATTTGGTATTTGAAGCCCCTAAGAGCCAATACAGAAAATGCTATCTGCCAAATTAAGAGCCCGGACATATGAAGTATGAACAATGTTAGCTGGTGGGAGACGAAACTATATAAATAACCTGCTACTATATAGATGAGAATCTAGATACTGCCTGCTCTGATCACCGGCAGCCAACCCAGCTATCTGATGCTGCATATTCCTTTGCTACTACCGTGTTTCCCCGAAAATAAGACAGTGTCTTATATTTTTTTTTCCACGAAAAAAGACACTAGGTCTTACTTTCGGGGGATGTCTTATGTGTACCTGGCTGCAGCTGTCCGCTCTCCGATCTACGCTCGTGCATGCGGGTGGGCGTGCGAGGGGGAGTGAGCTGCGGCAGTGACATGTAAAATGTAATTATACGGTGCAGCTACCCCGAAAATAAGACCTAGCGCTATCAGGGATTTCTGTAATATGAGATCTACCACCGAACTAGGTCTTATTTTCGGGGTAGGTCTTATATTACAGAAATCCCTGATGATAGCACTAGGTCTTACTTTCGGGGTAGGTCTTACTTTCGGGGGAAACACGGTATATACTCCCAAGGGTTTCTTCTCCCACTTTAAAGGGGCATTATCAACACCCAAAATGCACTGGTCCCTCCTATGAACTCTGTAACTGATAAACGGTGTAAGGTCTATTTTGCTACGGTGGACATGCAGGACCACATAAACTGTGTATAGCTCATTGTAACCCTAACTATACTAACTGGAAGCATCTCACACAATAGCCAGTAGCTGTGTGACCGCGCCGATGTAAAATCTGCACAGAAAGCAGCGTGTACATTCCCAATGAAGATCACCGACTCTCAAGTGTAAAAAGCAAATGTAAACACTAACTCCAATCTATACTTAGTATGTTTTGAATAGAGCAGGGAAGGGTTAGTTCAGGGGTGCCCATTAGGTAGATGGTGATCTTCCAGTAGCTCTGAAAGCTGATGCTGGTAGATCAGGAAGGGTGTGACTGGCGGCCCCTTTATTTCAATTTGGTATATTTATTTAGCTGTGCACACACGATCACCTATTAGCCCGAGTCTGCTGAGCCCAGCTCCCCGACACCTTTCTGGTGGATACTGGTGGTTGAAGTGCTATGTATTACATCAAAGAATATTAGTGCACACAGCCTGTTGCACTACACTGATTGCAAAATACAGCAAGGTGAGCCAGGAGAGAGAGCGAGGAGAGACAGCCAGGGGAGCACAGAGAGAGCGAGGAGAGACAGCCAGGGGAGCACAGAGAGAGCGAGGAGAGACAGCCAGGAGAGAGAGAGGGACATTTTTTTTTTCGTTGGTAGATCTCCTGTAGCTCGTCATTTGAAAAGTAGATCTTAACACAAAACATTGTGGGCACCCCTGGTTTAGATCATGTGTCAGGTTTTTATTGTGTTTTGTGTCCCTACTGGGGAGCTTTACCCTCATTTCCTGTCTGAACAGGAAGTGATAGTAAATGCTTCTGATGGGAAAAATAGTAACACATTTTTAGTAGATTGGGGAAGGGATAGAACGGCTGACGGCGTTGTGCATTCCCTTGCTGGTGACAACTGCTCCTGTCATTTCTTGTCCTGGTATAACAAGGACAGGATTTGCCTCATAAAACGCCTCCCACAAATTCGGGTCCCTTAATAGTGCAGTCACCTATTGGGAAGTGGACTTAGGCCTTGTTCACACCAAGCACGGAGCAGGTGCAGAGCAGATCACTTGCAGACCGGATCAAAACTGCGTCCAATGTATTCCAATGGTATTTTTTGCTCCAGTTCACATTGCAGCGTGCCGTTGCAGAGCAGATCCAGAGCAGGTGAAAAAACTGCAGCAGGCCCTATTTTACTTGCTCTGCATCTGCTCTGGAACGCATCAACAACACATGCAAATGCCTAGAACCCACTGAAAGCCCATTTTAAACCCTAAAAAAGGGCCCGAAACGCATCAAAAACGCGTAAAAAAAAACTAGCGTGCGTGTGCAGAAACCTGACCGGATCTGCTCTGCATTTGGTGTGAACAAGACCTTAAGGGAGCAGAGTGGGATTCTGGCTTTGCTGCATATTAAATCCTGTAGTATTCTTGCAGTACTACTACAAATAATTCCAGAGTTGCTTGCTTACCTGAAAGCCTTGCACTACCATGCGGACCGTGTCCCCCACACGAGCTCTGGTTGGCGTCATCGTTATTTTGGGCCCTCTCGGAGCAGCTGCAACACAAACAACGGAGAGACCTGTTAAGCATTGCTTTACATACCGCAGGCCAGAGAGAGGCAAACTAGGACATCTTGGGAAATATATCCAATGATGCCACCAAGTAATAAGATTCAATTGTGCAAAACAGCTGGCCATTATTTTATGATTAGAGACGCCAAGCACTTATCTTTGCTATTTGTTCCACTTTGGTGTCCTCTTATTATTTACCATGCGGCTGAATGTTTTCCTCGTCGTGCGCACATCATTAAAGCTCACACTGTGATATGCAAAATACTGCGCGCACACACAGGAAGAATGAAATATCGGCCTCCTTGACAATTCTGCTTTCAGAAGACTTTTTATTTCTCGCCTAATTGGTCCCAATTAACTGTTCTGGGTATCAGGACACGATCAAGGTCATGACACTATTTGACTCCCTCGTCTACACACAAGCTGATGCCAGAAATGGCATTTCCACCAAGGGATGGAAACTAAAGCAGAAACTAAATACCCCAGACGACCATTTACAGCAGCTTTTATAGCAGCTGGCGAACCACCCACCCACCCCGGACCTGCCCTGAGCGCGTCCTACGACCAACAGGTTTCATAGACTTCCATTATGACGCACGTTTAATGAACACCATAAGACTAAGCATGATTAAATGTTACAATGCAAATCTCTGATGACGATACATTTCTTATCCAGTTACAGTCTTATTTTATTATACAGGATTTATATAGCGGCAACAGTTTTACAATATAAGACATTACAGTTACTATACAAATCAAGACAAGATGGTAGGGAGGGCCCTGCCCCTGAGGGCTTACCATCTGAAAGGGGAGGGGCCAGTGATACATGAGGAGGTAGCTGTGTGGGGATGAATTGTTTGAGAAAGTGATAGTTCAGTGGTTAGGTTGAGGTGGGATAGACTTCCCTGAAGAGATGAGTCCTTAGGGATCATCTAAAGGCAGTCAGAAAGGGAGATAGCCGGACAGGTTGAAGTAAGGAGTTCCAGATGATGGGAGAGACTCTAGAGAAGTCCTGGAGGCGAGCATAGGAGGATATTAGTTTTGGATACAGTGGGGAAGGGGTAAGAACCCATTAGAGAGATTTGTCCTCGCGTCCTGTCCTTTATAGATCATTGGTTCGACCTCATCTGGAGTACGCGGTCCAGTTCTGGTCACCTGTACTAAGAAAAGATGTCCTTGAGTTGGAATATAGATCAGGGATGGCTAAACTGCGGCCCTCCAGCTGTGGTGGAACTACGAATCCCATGAGGCTTTGCAAGATTCTCACAGCCACAGACATGACTCCCGGAGAGAGATGCATCATGGGATTTGTTGTTTCACCCACAGCTGGAGGGCCGGAGTTTGGCCATCCCTTGTATAGATAAACTCTGGCCCTCCAGCTGTGATGGAACTACAAGTCCCATGAGGCATTGCAAGACTGGCGGCCATAGTTATAACTCCCAGAGACAAATCAATGATGGGATTTGTAGATTCACCACAGCTGAAGGGCCAGACTTTGCCTACCCTTGCCATAGTATATGAGTGGCGGGGGGCCTACAATGACAGGGACACACGAGAGGCAGTCGGATCCTTCACTCTCTTATATAGTGGAGTTGATGATCAGGCCCAATCACACGGGCAGCATATGGGAAATGTCCCCGCGCCATTACAAATACCCCAGACACTCTTCATCTAACTTGCCACTTAAAGACCAATAATGGTAACAAATGCTCACTTGGTTTATCGAGCGTTTATATGCAGCCCATGGCTTAGGAAAGCAGACTTTGTTGTATTAACATGTTAAGCACTAATTACGCACTTCTTCTGCTGTGCCTGGGGCGAGCTGCTGGCCCGCTGGACTAATGTCTTACATCGATGAGAAGTAAACTCCTCCTGTGTAAGCAGAATGATAGCACAGAGGACAATAATAGTCAAGTCGGAGTGATTAGGACACCTGCAGGGTCATCGCTCCGGTAATTATTACAATATTGCTCTAGCCAGCTTTAAATATTAATATGACAATGCTGGTTTAACCTCTGAGACCGGCAATAAATCCTGCAAATTACCCAGGAGACCAGATGAATGCATGCACTGCCGTCTGCTACATCATTCCGGAACATACACAGACCATGCAGGAACAGATGCATCATCCGTCTGCAGTCTACTGCATCAGTCCCGTACAATGAGGGCCCATTGACACTTATTTGTTGTGACAAAACACATGGCAACATACCTGCTCTATGTGCAGTGCGTTGTGTTGCCATTCATAGAGCAGTTGAGTTTCTTCCTCCACTCCAACGACGTGTTGGTAGATTGATTGGCTCCATTCTAAATTGGCCCTAGTATGCGTGCGTCTGTATTTGAGATTGGGACCAGCTTCTGGAGGGAATGGACTTGTGAATGTACAGTATGTAAAGTGCTGCAACATCAACAACACAGGGACACAACTAGCAGGAGGAAAGTTCAAAACTAACCATAGAAAGTATCATTCTAGGAGATGAGCAGTGGATACTTGGCACAGACGTCCAGCAGATGTAGTGAGTCAATGACCGTAAGTCAATGTAAAAACGCTTCGGTTAAACATAGGTCTATACTTAGACAAAAAGGTTAATGCCCCTCCCAACTACCTTCTAAAGCCTTGGATCTCAACTGGTGGGTCGTGACCCCATGTCCAGTGGGTCGCCACATGCCTTCCACTTTTCTAGGTGAGAGGATCGTCTTCGACTTGAGGTGGGGTGGGTTGGGGCTATGGCTGCGAGGGAGCTCCATCCATACATGCATTGTTTACATCTCATCACATTCTGACTCCTGGCACCTCTACGGGTGGGCATGGGAGCTTTTCAAAAGTTAACCCTTGCAGGTAGGGCTACCCCAGCACTGCAAGGGTTAACTGCTCTTTTTGGTCTCGGGCCTTGGTTCTCAACTGGCGGGTCGTGACCCAAAAGTGGGTCGTGACAACATGTCCAGTGGGTTGCCGCATGCCTTCCACTTTTCTAGGTGAGAGGTTCCTCAGCTTCCTCCTAGGGCCGCACTGTCAGTTCTCACACCGAGCAGCCATTTAAAATATGCTGACCGGCGCCACATGTGAGCTTGAGGTGGGTTAGAGGTATGGCTGCGACGGAACTCCATCCAAATGTGCATTGCTTACAGCTCCCTATGACAACGGGCTGCTTTACTGTTAGTCTGTAATGTCTGTGCACAAAAGAGTGTACCAGAAATTCACGTTATGTGAAGATTGGGCTGCTGTGCTGTGACGGAGCTCCGTCCATATGTGCATTGCTTGTACGGCTCCCTCACATGTCCTGTAGAGGTGCCTGGACCAGAATGCCATCACATTCTGGCTCCCGGCACCTCTACAGGGCATGCAAGCGAGCTGTTCAAGCAATGCACATATGGATGGAGCTCCGTCACAGCACAGCCGCCCACACTGGACCCCAGGCTGAGGATCCACTCCAGTTTCCCTAATGGCAACCCAAACGCACCTCCCACCCACAGTTCAATCGCCTGCATCAGAAAGCGCAGTACCGCAACTTGGGTCGCGACTGAATGACCGAGGACAAATGTGGGTCCTGAGACTTCACAGGTTGAGAACTACGGCTATAAAGCCATTCATCGTGTAACCTACGGTCACATGTACAATAACATCCAATCTTCACATAACGTGAATTTCTGGTACACTCTTTTGTGCGCAGACATTACAGACTAACAGTAAAGCAGCCCGTTGTCGTATGGAGGCGCACTCATTGACTTCTACAAATAGCCACGCATTATGGTGATGTTGCTGAGGAATAAGAGGGGCAAATGTTTTAACTTGTAATAATTATCAGAGGACCTTCCCTCCCGCAGTATTATACACCATAAAACTTCATTAGCATTAGAGCGGCTAGGGACCACTTGCCTGTCTAGGCCTGCTGCAGCCTTCATTCCCGTCTCTGTTTATTTGTAACAATGCTTATAATAATGTTTACATCTAATTAACAAAAAGTAACAATACCGGGTTGTATTTGCAGTGAAGTTTTCGATCACTTGATTCCATTCTCTGTCTGATAAGATCTCCGTGTCTTTGTCCGAGGAAGAAGGTAGAATGTGGAGACCAGCTTTGTATCATGAAGGGTCAGCAATAGCAGAGTTCCTTTCAATTCTTGATGACATCTCAATGAAAGGAACCCATAACTTAATTATTTACATCAAGCTCATGATGGTTGCATGTGGCTCGTGCAGCACCAGCTGACCAATGCGGTTGTCATCAAATGATTATGTCAACATTGTACAAACTGAATGTCAGGCAATGTCTATAAGGCCATCTGTACAGGAACACATACACCGCCTGGCCAAGAAAAATTCACACACCCTAATATTATGTTGGAGCGCCTTTAGCTTTGATTACGGCACACATTCACTATGGCATCATTATTATAAGCTTATACAATGTCACAACATTTATTTCTGACCAGATTTGTATTTATTTTACACCAAGATCTTGTAGTGATGATGGGAAAGTTGGACCACTGCGTAAAGTCTTCTCCAGCACATCCCAAAGATTCTCAATGGGGTTCAGGTCTGGACTCTGTGGTGGCCAATCCATGTGTGACAATGATGTCTCAGGCTCCCTGAACCACTCTATCACAATCTGAGCCCGGTGAATCCTGGCATTGCCATCTTGTAGTATGCCCAATGTGCCATCGGGGAAGAAAAAATCCATTGATCGAAGAACCTGGTCATTCATTATATTCAGGTAGTTAGCTGACCTCATTGTTGCTGAACCTAGACCTAACCAACCCCAGAAGAAAAGTAATCTCTGAGCCTGATGAAGGGGACCCTGCGTGGCCCCGAAAGCGCTTGCATATGAGGGACAGCATTCTTCAATAAATGATCACTCAATTGCTGTAACTATTGTTTGGTGTGCTGGTGACATTCTTCAATTAACTAACCAACCCCAGATCATAACACATCCAGTGCAAGCATCTCACCTATTGTCTTAGCTAAAATCCGGGTGGTGACTTTT